TGAGGACAGTGCGGGGGGTGGGGGCTGAGGGCGGAGGGTGGTGTGGGGAAAGGGTGGAGGGGAGCTATGGGGGGGAAAAAGAGGAACAACTGTAATAATCTGAACAATAAAGATTTAATTAAAAAAATCCATAAAGATACAGATTGGAATGCTTTTAATAGATTTCACTTGACACATATAGAACATTGTATGCAACAATTGTAGTTACATACTATTCTCAAGTGTGCATGGAACATTTACCAATATTGACCATGTGCTAGTTTATTAAGCATAGGTCTCATAAATTTCAAATGATTGAAAATTATACAGAGCACGATCTCCGATCACAATAGAATTAAACTAGGGATCAATAACAAAATATAATTTTAAAAGCCCAAATGTTTGAAAATTAGGCAATAGAATTCTAAATAATTCATGTGTCAAAGAAGAAATTAGAAATTTTTGTTGTTGTTTAATCCTCACCCAAGGATATTTTTTCCATTGATTTTTTTTTTTTTTTTTTAGAGAGAGAGAGAGTGGAAGGGAGGGAGGGAGAGAGAGAAACATCCATGTGAAAGAGACACAGTGATTGGTTGCCTCCCGCACGAGTCCTGACCAGGGCCCTGGATTGAACCTGCAGCCCAGGTACATGTCCTTGACTGGAAATCGAACTCAAGACATTTTGGTCTGTACGCTGCTGCTCTAACCAGTGAGCAACCGGTCAGGACGAAAAAATATTTTAATTATAGATTTTAGAGAGAGAGGAAGGGATTGAGAGAAAGAGAAAGAGAAAGAAACATTGATGTGAGAGAGAAATATCAATTGGTTGCTCCCATATGAGCATGCCCTGACCAGGGATCAAACGTGCAACCTTTTGATGTATGGGACAATGGTGCAATCAACTGAGCCACCTGCCCAGGGCAAAAATATTTTAAAATTAATTTTTAAAAAATGACATCCTAAACTTGTGGCATGATGCTAAACATGAACACATGTATCTGACAGTGGAGCAAAGGTGTAATGGCCACAACACGAAGGCATCTTAAGATTGACAAACAAAACAGGCAACTCCATAGAATATAACAGAATTCATTATAGGGTAATTTACTTACAGGAATGTAGGGTCAGAGCAGATAGATGACTCAGCAGTTCTGCTTAAATTATTCTCCACTAACAGACTCCTGTTACAGCCCTTTTTTTTATAGTCTAACTCTGGCACTAATGATAAGACAAAGAATGCAGTATGTTCCAGGGGCCATGCCTCCTGGTAGTGTTGTGATAGATTACTGTTTATAATCAATACTATCACCAGTTTGCTATTTATCTTGGTTGTCACGCCATTCCAGCCATTACTAACAAAAATATTTATGGCTACATTTTAAGGAACACAGATAACATCAACTAGGGGCTTTGCTTTGCCTTGCTAAAGACATTACGGTTCATCACAGATCACAGCATGAAAACTCTGGGATACAAAAATGAAGTTGGTTTTATTCACATCTATATTTATACAATATGCAAACATACTAATAAAATTAATTCTCAGATAGCGGAAGGAAGTAGTAATGAGGCCTCTGAGTGGTATTTGAGAGATTCAAATAGAGATCTTGCATCTATTTGAAATTATTTGGTTGCATTGGCTGTATGTTTTTAAATGTCACACTATTCTGGGACTGATCCATATGGTCATGGTTCTATAAGCATTTAAAAAAATTATTATTTTAATTGACCTTAGAGAGAAAGGGAGAGGAAGAGGGAGAGAGAGAGAGAGAAATATCAATGTGAGAGCAAGCATTAATTGGCTGCCTCCTGCAAGCCACCTACCAGGGATCAAGCCTGCAACCCAGGCATGTGCCTTTGACCAGGGATTGAACCCGCAACCTTTTGGTGCATGGGATGATGCCCAACCAACTGAGCCACACCAGCCCGGAATATAAGCATTTTTAACTTAGCTGATGATTTGTTTAATGTCTGGTTCTCCCACCAGACTGTGAGCTCTGCAGTAGGACGAACTCTACTTTGTTCTCAGCACCCAACATGCTGCTTGGCACATACTGTAGAGGCTTAATAAATATTTGTTGAATAATATTAGAAAAAAGCGTATACAGCACATGTCAGACACTGTGTGTGTGTTTTTTAAATCTACACCTGAGATTATTTTTTCCCATTGATTTTTAGAGAGTGTGGATGGGAGGAGGGAAGAAAGGGAGGGGGGTGGAGAGGAACATTTGTGTGAGACACATTGATTGGTTTCCTCCCATACACACCCCAACCAGGACTGGGGATCGAACCTGAAACCCAGGTATGTGTCCTTGATCAGGAATCAAACCCATAGACCTTTTGGCGCTCTAACCACTGATCAACACCGGCCAGGGCAGACATTGTGTTTTATGTTGACTATTTTATCCAATACAACAACCTTACGAGAAAAGTATCACCATTACTTCTATTTAACAGATACAGAGACTCAGAGAAGTGACTTACGTTCACATAAGCTGAAAACTGGGGACCCAGGCTAGCTGACTTCAGAGCCCAATCTCTTAAGTCTGCAATTGGTCAGCTTCCCAAAAATGAGCAATTGCCAGAGTGCAAAGGGTCTTGGTGCCATTTTTTATAGTTTGAACATTATCCTCCAAGGTGTTGGCGAGATTTGAAAGTCCTTTGCAGTCCTCTTCCTTGTTTTCTACTTCTGGTATTTCCCCTTCTCTCAGCTGCGGGAGACCATTGAACGTGAGATTCGAGATATGGGCCTGCAGGTCACACCATTCACCCTCACCAAGGTCACCCAATTGTATGAAACCAAGAACTCCCGCCACTCCACCATGATCGTGGGCTGTACGGGCAGCGGCAAGACTGCCTCATGGCGAATTCTTCAGTCCTCCTTGTCCTCCCTGTGCCGTGCTGGAGACCCCAACTTCAACATTGTCAGGGTAAGGGCTGGGACTGCGAAGCCACTGGCAGAGACTTGAGTAGCAGGAAGACAGTGGAGGCTGGGGGAAGGCTGCATTGGGTCAGGGAGGGCAGGCCAGGCGGGAGGCAGTGCCTGGGTCCAAGGAGGCCTGGGAGAGGTGAGAGAGAGAAGGGGCAAATACAGATCCCTGGATATAAAGGGAGATCTCAGGATTTGCGTCTGCCAGCAGCTCAAAACCCTTTCCTGTGTCATTTTTAGGAGTTCCCTTTGAACCCTAAAGCGTTGTCCCTAGGAGAGCTGTATGGGGAATATGACCTGAACTCTAATGAATGGACAGATGGCATCCTATCCAGTGTCATGCGGATGGCATGTTCAGGTACCCAAAGGATCATGGGATTGGGAGGACAGATGCCCACATTTCCCAGCGGGGTGGACATTTTGGGGATAGAGAGCTCCGCTTGGGAGAAAAGTGCTTGGAGAATGCTGAGGTGCAAGGAGGCATCGGCTTGCCTCCGTGAGGGGACGAGTGTGGCGGGCCCTTGGGAGGAAGCTCTGGTTTCCTTATTAACCACCTTCTATCAAGATGAGAAGCCGGATGAGAAGTGGATCCTTTTCGATGGGCCTGTGGACACGCTGTGGATCGAGAGCATGAACTCCGTCATGGATGACAACAAAGTGCTGACCCTCATCAACGGCGAGCGCATCTCGATGCCCGAGCAGGTACAGGGGGCCCCGACTACTGAGACCCCGTAGAAGTGGAGACTGGAGGCACGAGGTTGGGCTAAGGGGAAGAGCAGGGGGTCCTAAGAGAAGAGGAAGTTCTATAGGAGAGAGCTGAGGAACTGTGACTGAAGAAAAAATGCCTGTCCACCATGGCTGTGGAGAGCCATCGTGTGGAAAAGAACCTGTGCGCTAGGACGCACCGCGTAGACTGAGCAGCCCTCCTCGTGTTCATTTCCACTGACGTAGCGGGAGGACCTTCACTACCCACCTGGGATGATGAATGCATGGGCTGCAAAGCCCACCCTTTTCCACCCACTCAAACAATGTGAGCGAGAGAGTGGTTTTTTATAACAATAACCTTGAATAAGCCCAATTTCCTTTAACAAGCAAATCATTTGTAAACCTTAGCTCTTTATTCATCCTACCACGATTGGTACTTGATAGAGTCATCTCGGGGCATCAGAGTTCTGGGTGGGGAGGAGCGAAAGACAAGCTTGTGACAAAGCATATCCTTAGGTGTCTCTCCTGTTTGAAGTGGAGAACTTGGCAATGGCCTCTCCAGCCACCGTGTCTCGCTGTGGGATGGTGTATACTGACTATGCTGATCTGGGCTGGAAGCCCTACGTGCAGTCATGGCTAGAGAAGAGGCCAAAGGTAGGAGGGGAATTGAGGAGAGAGAAGGTAACCAGCATGGCCTATGGGACATAAGAATGAATAAAGAGCCCCTTTCATTCAACTCCAGGCTGAGATAGAGCCCCTTCAACGGATGTTCGAAAAATTTATCAACAAGATTCTGGCCTTCAAGAAGGATAATTGCAATGAAGTGGTGCCTCTACCCGAATACAGTGGAATCATCTCCCTCTGCAAGTTGTACTCGGCCCTGGCCACGCCAGAGAATGGGGTAAGGGGACCAGAGCAGGCCAGGGAGGGCAGGCTCAGGACTTCCTGGGTCACTGCAGGGAAAGAGTGTGTCTGAGAATTTGAACCCCTGGTTTGAGTGGAACAGAGACTGTAATTTCCTCCTTATATTTTGGGAACTGAGGGTAGTTCATGTGGTTCCTCATTTCTCTATCCTTTCAAAAAATAAATATTAAGTCTTGGGATACTGTTTCTGCTGGAAGCAGCCCCCAACTTAATCTGATGAGGGGTTTTAGAAATTTCCAGATTAATTGATACATAAGAAAAAATTTTGTTCGGTTTAGAATTATGGAGTAAGGACCAAAATTATATTTTCTGGGGAGATTAAATCACTGCCCAGAAATGGTTTGTATTGTTTTTAAAGACATTGTCAGATAATTAAACTGATAATATAAAGTTATATAACAATTAAGATCTGTAACAGTATATGTCATTCCTGATACAATTAATGTAACTTAAAAACTAGATTAAAAAAAAAACCTATGTGGATGAACTCAAGGTAACATATGGGAAAAGGATCTACACTAATAAAAGAGAAACATGCTAATTAGCGTACGACCGCTACCCTTCCCATTGGCTAATCAGCATATCATTATGCAAATTAACTGTCAGCCAAGATGGCGGCCGGCAGCCATGCACTGAAGCGAGCAGGG